ATTGACTAGAACATATTTCTTTGATATTAATAACTTCCTATATATTCAGCTAATCCAAAAGTAAATGAGGAACTTAGAAAAAGATTGCCAACTCCAGATCAACATATTTAGAGAAAATTGGAAAAAGGAGAAGCTTACTAGAGCTTTATTTGAGGACTTTTTAAAGAACGCAGAGTTCTAGCTGTGAGGTAAATCTAATTTTATTCTCCTTAAAACCATGCAAAAAAAAACTTGTATAGCTTTTGTCATGTTTATTATGAAAACAAATGTGATAGAATTATCAATTCCACAAGCTAATGACAGTCTTTATTTTTTTAAAAAATGGAATAGCATTCTTAAATTACTTTTACAAGTACATAATATTTATATGAAAATATGCATTGTAAATGCAAGTCAATAAATTCAAAATTTTTGGTATAAAGTTTATGACCAGTAGACTACAAATTTTATTTTTCTTAAATTGTTGAGGTTATATTTGGAGAAGACTTAAATAAATGGTTCTCTAACCATAAAGGAGCAAGAATGTCTAGAAGCTTAATTTGAACTGTATTTAATAGACTGCAAGTGTGAAGGAAAGACTGTTTTTCTGAGAAAAAAGATCTAACTTTACCTGTTGAAATACAGTTAATTGTACCATTATAAATGTTTTAGACAACCATTTATCCTGTAAATTCTCTGTTAAACAAAGGTAAGGCTTAGGTGTGTTCTGATATATTGTTTTAAGTTTATTTATCTAGAGTTGGCTTTATTTTAGCTTCATATCTTGGAGCAAAACCCAGAGACATTGCCAGAGCAAACAAGAACAGAAGTACAAATGGAGGACTGGTCAAAAGGTAAGGACTTTTAAGGTATTAATACCAAACCCCAGGTGTTGTGCTAGTTCAAGGCACTGAATGAAGTGTGTTTGTTCTAAGCATTATATTAGACAGAGGCAGAAAAGCACACGTGCACATGCACCCACACACAAAGAAGAAGGCATACATAAAGAGACCCACATATTGCAAAAGAGACACAAAGAAGGCACACACAGAAAGAGACGCACACTGTGAATGAGACATGGAAGGTATATATAGAGAGACAGACAGACATATGCACGTACTGAGAGACACCTACAGAGAAAGAGACCAAGACACATACAAATACAGAGACACATGTAGAGATAAGTGTGTACCAAAAGACACACCCACAAAGAGACACAGAGAGTTGTGATCAGAGGGGCCCAGAGAGAATCAGAACAATAGAGACATGCAGAGATGTGCAGATGGAGTCAGAGACAAGGAGAGAGACAGAAAAAAAGATACATACGGATATGCACAGGCAGAGGGAGAGAACAGTGAGAGACAGAAACACAGTTTGACTAAGAGATGACGAGAGAGAGACAAAGAGGGAGAAGGATCGCACATCTGTTTATCTAAAGAACAACATGGTCATGAAGAGAGGTTTTAAATGTTAGACTTTTAATTGAGATCTCTTACAGTAAAATGGTGCAAATCTGGAAACCTTGGGAAAGTAATTATTCTGAATATAGTATTACATATAGTTGAAGGCTTAAACTTTATGTATTTCATTTTTATTTCCTCCAATTTTATAATTTAAAAACTAGGATCATTACCAAAACATCACACATATCTCTTTTTGGATTCCCCCTCCCCCAACAGAGCTCCTTTTTCACCATATTATCAACCATACTGTTTACCTTTTTCAGAAGGTTAAAGGCCATTTGGGGGGATCATTCCATCATCTTTATACTAAGTAAATTAATAGCTATGCATTGTTTTCAGGTATAGAACGATGCTGTATTTTCTGAGTATACCTTTTTCTGATTTCTGCATTTGTTGTTAATTTCCATACTGTTATAAATTTTCTTGTAATTTATACCTACTATTAGCAACTTATTTGTGATACTAGGCTGCTTGCTATGAGTTTAGAATCCAAGTAACTGACTGAATTGTGTAGAAAGTAATAACAAGTAATATCTGAGTAATGTAGTTAAAGGTCTTTAGTGCAAAGTTAAATGTTTTAGTGAATAGACTTTGTGACAATTTTGGTCTACTCTCTTTATATTCAAGTTTGTGATAAGGATACATTGGTGGGAACTAATTTGTTACAGCTGTTTTTATTCGTTTATGCAAATAAGCAAGTAAACATTCTTCTTTTGAAGAGCTCAAAGCAGTTTTACTCAATATATGTACAAAATAAGAAGTAAATAATGATGTTTCCATTACTTATATTCCCTTTTCATAGGTTACATTACTGTGAAAAGTCATATTGTGCAGATTATAGACAAAAGGATCTTTAAGAACACAAAGGAATTATTTTTAATATATCTAAAGAGCTAGAGGTTGTGGAGGAAATTCTTTTCATAAATGTAGAATAAAAAGGAAAGATGCAAAGGAAGGGAGCTGCTAAAGCTCTAAGACACTTATGAAAAGAAGATTTTAGGGCTAAAGACGTGGATCCATCAATAGTTTGTAGGAAACATGGACTGTAGTAGATGTGAATGAAACATCATTAAGAAAATTTGCATTTTTACAGGCTTTTTTTGATATTGAAAATAGGAATAGGACATTCCTTTATATAAAGGGCCTGCTAATGAAACATTATTAAGAATTAAGCAGGTGAAAGTAATATCTTTTGAATTTTGTAATAACTGATATGTTTAAACAGTAAAATCTACATGGTCATCTCTTGATAGAGAGGGTCATGGGATTTATCATAAAGCACAAATTGCTTCAAAACTCTCTTACACTAATGTTCATAGTCTACTCTTGTAAATAATTATTTTATTTTATTTTATTTTACTTATCCTTTAAAGGAATCAAGCTAATTAAACACTTGTATTACACAGATTTGCTTTTGTGTCATCTTACAAATTTCATGAGGAGTGCCGAAGTAGTTATCCTTTTTCTAGGTTTATTGTAGAAACATTGTTGAAATATTTGAAGTCAAAGAATTGATGAGATCTATAATGTTAACAGATATAAAACGATTTACATTTTTCTTTGTTTTTGTCGTTATATAAGTATTTTGGAAAATGTTAAGCTGAGATTGGTAGATAGGACAGGTGAAGACATCTACAAAATGTGTCCAGGTTTCTTTAGGTAGTTAAAAATAACCATGAATGACTGAAATTTTAAGGTGTTGGAAGCAGTAGCTGAGTGGATAAACGTATGTTGCCAAAAAGGCATCAACATCTTCTGGCTTCTTAATTAAATAAATAATGTTTTGCCCTTTCATGAAAACTTTCTGTTTTTCAAGGTTTTTTTTTTCCTGCTTTTTAAGAAAAAAACGAAAGGTCATACTCAAAGGACGTATGTAAAGTCAACCTTCAGAAAGAATGGGTTATTATATGATTGGTTGTTTAGCCCTTTTTACCATTTACTTATTTTTTATTTATCTATATAACAAAAAAAGCATAGGGTCAGAAACCTCTTATGAACAATTAATTACTAGTCTAATAAATTTCTGGATATTTCTTATACTAAATTTTGGTGGTTTTTATTTAATTAGCAGAAACATGGTTTAGTTTTATAGTACATAATAGTCCATTGGAAATAGTTTGCATATTATTTGCAAATAAACATATGTCATCTGTATACATACCTGCAGTAATGTAGGTAAATATGAAGTCTGGATGCCAGTTAAATTTAGAATATTGTGAGACATAATTAAATTTAGAACCTTTAGGGGTCAGTGTTCCCCTAAGAAAGGTTAAAAAAGGTTATTGTGCCCATCCAAATTAAATATTAAGTCTGCTCTATTTTAAATATTTCTTACCAATGGAAGGTAAGAATCACACTTGAAGAAGCTTTAGAGAAAAATCTTTCAATGTCATGAGTTTCTTCAATATCATTTTTAGGTTTATCATTTTAGAAAAATAAAGTTAATATGTATTTTATACAGAGTAGTTATTTTCACTTATGTATTACCTCAATTTAAATATGAATCATGTTTTTAAATTATTTTATGCTTAATATGTAAGCATGATTCTAAATCATTGTATGCATTTGAAACGAGATGAAAAACCATTTTTAGAACTGCTTATGTTAACAGAGTCCTTACATGTTGTAGTTTATTGGAGGCTAGCAAATATTTTTATAATCTTATCTTGCGGAATTTAAGTAAAAGGCAGCTGTCCTCTTTATTTTAGAACTGAACTAGCAATTACCTTTTGTAGCCATGATTCTTTTGGTTTTCCTACCAAACAAAATAAATAACTGGGACTAAAACCTAACAAAAGGTAATTTATAAGTGGTTTACTAGTTTCTTACTGAGTCAGAATACTATTTATTTTTGCTTGGTATTTGGAACCTGCATGCTACCATCAGTCTCTTATTATTGGCTCATTTACCTTTCTGTCTTTTCACAAAGTATACAGTCTTGTCACGTTTTGTCCATCTGTTTTTCTGTAAATGAATTATATCTAAAACTGTTGCATGATTTATAAGCATTTTATATAAGAGTAGGCATCTATAGAAACATTATAGAAAAACATCTAGGATTTTTTAAATGTCTTTGATTATTATGACTAAAATATTATTTTGTAATCTCATATTATTTTCATAAACTATTTTCTTTTAAGGTAGAGGAGCAGGAAATGGCAAGTCGTACAGATGGACATCCATTTCTACCAGCAAGGTAGCTGTTAGGAAAAAAACGATTCCCTAGGCATCATGATTAGACACTGCTTGAAATTCAAGGTTTTGAAAATACCTGGATAATTAATCATTCTGTGTTAAATGACAGGACTTGAATTGTATTTAATTATTGGCTTTCTAGTAAGTAATGGTATTTTTTCCCTAAATAGGTCATGTAATTTTTTGTTTATTTGTTTTAAAGCAGAAAGTAAATTGCACTGGAGAACCCAGTGCATTTAATAATTTCTATAAAATGTAGTAGACAGAACACAGTTTTTGGAGATAGATAGACCAGGGTTTCAATTTTTTAATCTTTCACTTACTACCTCACTTACCTGGACTTAAGTGTAAGTTTCATAATGATTTTTAAGCCTGAGTTTCTTGTATATGGAAAAGGAGATAATTCTTTTAGGACTGTTTTAAAGATTAGGGATCGTATATGTATTTCATATACCAGAGTAATTATTTTTCAGTAGTGTGGTGGTAATGGTTTTTACAGATGAAAAAAGAAAAAAGATTGTTGATATATTTTACAGGGCCTAAATAAATGGTAGTGGTTGTTACTGTTATTTCATCCAGCTGTAAAAGGTAGGTATACAAAAAAGCTTTAAAAATATTAAGAAACATAAATAACAGTATTTGAAATAGTATTACTAATTTTATTAGAAGTCTGTTCTCTTCAGATATGTTCACAATATCATTAGAAACTTGATTTTTTTCAAAGTAGTATAGCTGATATTTAGCATAGTTATATTTGATAGAATAGAATTTTAAATCAATAATATTTATTTTGGATAAAATCTAATTTTGTCTGTTTTAAAATCCCATTGCAATAAAAATCTTCAGACTATCGACTTCACACAATGTGCCTTTTTCCTTTTGGCAAGTGTGAATTTAAGAATTTTTTTCCATATTCTGTAGAGGGGTTAAAAAAGAACATTTCTGAGGTCTGATTAAATTTCCTATTCATCTCCATAGTACCTAACTTAATAGAGTGCTGTTAGCTTTACACATGACTGTCTAGAATATTTGAGAGTGGTTTTAAGACTACTGGCAACTGGCCAGCAAGGACTGATTCACTTCCAGAGGAAATACCAAGGTAACTCTTAAAAGAATGATTGAGGTTATACTATTTTATAAAGAAAAAAACCATCTTATTTTAAATAAGTTTTTTAAAGTAAATGAGATTCTGAGTG